ATGCTTGTAAGCTCTTCCAATGTTTCACTACCTGCACATGGTACGTGACACAACCTGGAACAGCCTCTCTGAAATCACGTCACAAAAACATCCGTGCATTCCCCAGAAAAGCGTAAAATCGCTCATGTTCCGCGGCAGCCCATGCTGGAATGTTTTCATCATTCCCCCTGTTTACCGATGCCGACTGAAGTCAGTTAGAACAGCAGTCTGAGACTCAGAATAACAAAAGTCTGACAGCGTAAAAGATTACAGAGGGCCCTGGCCACCAGCCCATCGATGCTATCGTTACGTTTATTTGTTCTAGGTTGAGATAATACTGTTTTCGGGGATATTTTTTTTTTTCTGTTTACAATTTCAGATCAAAGAGAAAGGATCATCAGGTGACAGTCTAACTTTCATCTGCAAGCAAATGAGCTTCCTCAGTTCAGAACACGCTATACCTTTATTAAAAACTTTCCAAAATGCTCTTGGATAAAAACATGAGTGCTGTAAGTGTTGACTTACAACGCAAGAGCTGTAGGACAAGAAAATGTATCCTCGACCAAAATGTGCACCACATACATGAGCACATTTTTTCCCTTTCCAGCTGAATTGTGCAAGAGTGGATTCCTGAGAGCTCCAGTTCTCGCTCTGGTGCGGTTAAATGCAGCCAGCGCTTGCAATGAACCCCCAGGATGTAACACAGCACATCAAACATACTGGGTTTTGTTCTCTTAAGTAAAAGAAAAAAATAATTCGAAAGCCTAAGTGGCACTTAAAGACTAAAAGATATTAATTCAGTGTTACTGAAACAGTGACTTCTGTCTGTGTTTGCAGAAAAGAACTTTGAATGTTCTGACCTTGGGACTCTCATCACTCGAAGCAATAAAGTATCTGAGCACTTCACATTCTTTCCTGGCCATTGTCCTCGCAATTCCCTTATGAGACAGAGGTCCACTTTCCATCTTACCCCGTCTTCATCCGAGTCACACAAAAAGTCAGTGGCTTTGTTAGGAACTGAGTGATCTTCACAGTCCCGACTCAACGTTTTATTCAGTGCATAGGGCTTCTTCCTGTATTTGCTGCTCCAAGTCAGCAAACACAACATAGGTTTGGAATAACAACACTTTAAAACTCCGCAACACTCTGTTTCACTGTTCAAAGGATGCAGAAAGGGAAAAGGAAAACCATGTTATGAAGAGTAGCTGTGAAGAGCCTGGGAGAACACTGCTACTACTTACCCGTAACCGCGTATCGAGGGGAACGCACGCTCGAGACCCCTACCTCACCAAGCACCGTACCCAAACCTCCCTCAGCATCATGAAGCCCACGCCAGGCAGACTGGCAGTGCAGACAAGCTCTAAAAAGAAGATCACTAACAAAAAAACCCTGAAAGGTGGCTAGCAGGTGCCTTTGGACCCTGCTCCAGGGAAAAATTACTGTCAGTTGTTCAGAAAGTGCCCATGAACGTCTATCCAATATACATGGAATACCAGCACGACCTGCTGGGAGCAATGTTTCAGTCCAGGGAAAGCTTATCCTGTGGAGGAACTTGTCACAGTCTCATCCCTTTCTCCACCATCCAGCAGAAATGTTACAAACAGCGTTAAGCACAGCTATCGGGATAACTGCCACTGCAAACACAACACTGTGTATAAAAATCACTTGTCATTTTTCCTTTTACAAAAATTCAGTACAAAGCCTCTATTTTATCCCATCCGTAACAGTATGATTTCATGACCCTGCCTGCTTGGCGTGGCCAACTCAATGCAACCGCTCGGCACAAATTCTGCTTTGGCTAAGGACAAGATCCTGACGTCCATGAAAGGAGACCAAACCCCTAGAGTACAATCAGTCTCCATATTTCCAAAATGGTCAAGAAAAGGTAGAAACAGTCTTTCAAACTGAAATTTCTCAAACTGGAACCTGTCTGGAATTCAGAAAAATTGATGCATGATGTCGCCCATATTCTTTAGTTTTATTAAGTCAAAGTAACGGTGTAGCTAATCCATCTGACTCCGTAGGAGGACATGTGGGTGACTTAGTGACACTGCTTGATTGCAGTAAATCGATCAGAAAACACCATTATTAAATCACAACACTTGCTTCTTTTTCTTTAATATACATTAAGCGTGCCACTTAATCCACTTAAGATGCTTCTGTACACGAATGACAGAGGAGACTTCTGTCACCTCCTCTTAGGAGACAGATGAGGAGCACCGAGCTCTCGGTCTGCTCTCCCACCACTAAAGACAAGGTAAAATGGGGACTGGGAAAATTTTTAGCCTTGCAAAAGTGGGTAGATAATCCAGGGCTGATATTGTAAACTGGGTGAAATTACAATTCAAACATTCCTGTAACACCAGATATACTTGTCAATGTATGGAACACCAATATATATGGTTCCCAAATTTCTGCTTCCAGAATGAATTTGGTACGCCATGTATTACACAAAGAATACAGTGCAGATCCAACACTTCCTGGAAGAACTGGTCTTACAGTGTACTCCATGTACAGTTAATTTGTGCAGAAGCAGTGATCCTCTTCAGGGAACTTCTGTGTGTCCAGCAGCTCAGACACAGCCATGCAGACAGATACGTGAAACTTTACAAACGTTACCAATGCATCAGGTCTTTGTCCATGAACTAAATGGTCTTATAATATCAGTAGTAAGTATTTTCAAGGAAGACATTAATTGATCAAAAAGCAAGGAAAGCAAAATCATGTATCAGACCACGAGAGAAGGATTCTCACACATCTGGAAAATGTGTGGTGAAGCACTATTGGCCAGAATCTCTCACATACCAAAGTAGATAATTTCAGTATGGACGTTGGAATACCACATATAACAAGGGCATAATGATGATGTTTACACAATTTATAATGGGCACTAGCTAAACAAGTTTTGACACTGATACTCACCCATGTCCATCAACGCAAATTAGAACTTTTTATAGCTCCAGTACAGACGGTGACCTTTAAGACCACTGGCCTTGATTCATAATTAGCTTTGAACTAGGGGAGGGGAAAGAAAAAAGTCTGGTTGCAAATGTATAGATACTATTCTAACCAAGAAAGGAGGTACAGTGTGTGCCTCAGAGTATCCACATTGTGAATTTCAAACTGAACAGTCTCCAAAACTCTTGTCTAATGCTACTCATACACAAAATTTACAGAACAAAACATACTACTCTTCTCACTAAATAACTACAAGTACTGTTATTCCAAAAGAAAAAGCAAAACCACCCATCATATTATGTAAATAATTTAAATTATAGATGTGTATTGAGAATTACAGGTACCAACGCAATATTGTTGCTGGATAGTTTAATTTTCAAGGGAGTTGTGAAATCCACCAATATGCCTCAGACTGGTTAGATTTTTTTCTATTTTATACTGTTCCAAAAGCTATACTGTTCATGTCCCAAATGGAAACTCTGTGGCAAACTGGGAAAAAGCTTTACTATGTTGATTCTGAGAATTTTAATGCAATGCTTTCACAGAGATGCTAATGCTATATCCCAAAAAACACGTCTCAATAAAGGTTTTTTCTCTAAAACATGTTAAGTTTGGTTTCCAATGTATGCCTTAAAAGCAAATTTATCAGCTGTAAAAACCAAAAGAACACCTTTGTTCCTAGTGATTGGAGTCCTGTGCTTTAGTTTTCAATATTGATTATAGGATATTTCCCATTTTTTGTACAAAAGCAGAACAAAAATAACTCTAAAACATTAAACACAGGCTCAAGGAGATGACAGAGCATATGCACACACAGAGATCTCAATGTCCTTTATGTTCTTTAAAAAAATTACTCATAAGTACTATATGTATTATCCCATATGGACAGTTTTTCCTAATTTCCTCTCACTTTCCAGATTGGTTATTCCTTCCTACAGTAAACCATTGCCTACAGTAGTAATTTCACTTTTCCAGAACGGCAGCAGCGAAGCTTTAGAGCGTTTAAACTACCAGCAATTTAAATTCACACAGATTGACACACTACAAACTACTACTACTTTAAATTAAGCTTTCAGATTTTGTTTGTTACGAAGGTAAGGCAAAAAACTTACGGGAAACTGTACAACTCAAAGGAAAAAAAAAATGGTTTGAAGGAGCTACAGTCACGGTACCACAACAATCCAAGCTTCCAGCGTCAGGGTCATAACCACAGTGCCCGAGGCTTCTCTCTGTCACACTAGTTTACATCTGCCAGGCTGTCACAAGTCTGTGCTTTCAGCGTGTAATTGCATCAGCAAGTGCAATACTCATTTCTTACCCTGTGGTGACATTTTTATTTATGTATTTAAAACAGGTTCTTCAACAGTTACTCGGTGCTACAAAGGTGAGGATCTCCGGATGCCTAAAAGCATTGCAGGGAAGGATTCCAGCATCATACACTGCACTGCTGCTACCACAGCGATGCCAGCAAAAGTCATCCCTCTCACTTCTTTCCACTTTAGCAGTAAGTCACTTTACTGAGCATTTTTTAAAATACAGTTTCATACTTCTTCGCCCTATACTAGCAGCCTAATTTAGTCTTTCATCTTTAAGAGTGGGATTTTTCAACTGGGAAGTTAAATCTGTATCCCTACAGTCTCCAACAGGTTCCCCCACTTTGCTAAAGCGTAGATAAAAGTTAATCACAGTCTTTTGATTAACTCTGCCTTTCAACTCTTTAATTGTCTGCCTTGGCTTTTACCACCAAAGTCAAGCAAACCCTGACAGTTGCTTCGCAGGCACTGGACAAATGTTTAACATGTTACATGAGAAAAGGTTAAGTACAAACACAGCTAATAATCTGGGCTCTTTGGAGGCAGTGCCATATCTGAATAAATCTGACAGCACCTCATTGTGAAGGGCAAGAATTTATTATTGTCCAGGTTAAACGCTGTGCTCTTATCCTTTCTGTGGCTATAACATAAGAAAGGCTCTTTGTGTGCTGAAACAAACATTAAAGTGCCAACATACACAAAACGTATAAGGTGTCTGGGGATTATTCTTCAGCAAATAGTTTAACTTACTTTGGCTTCAGTCTCTCCCCTGTGAAGTGTATACAAATGATGGACGGCACTTTGTGATGATGACCAAGGATGTGTCAGTATTTGAAAAACATGGAAATCATGGCCTAATGTGTCAGTAGTGACCAGCAACATCCCTGGGTAAAAAAAAGAAAAAGAACAAAGAAACACAAAAGCACAAGAGATTAATCACTGCAAAGAAGAGGCTTATGAATATCTACCTGAAAAAAGCCAGCGTGGCTTACATTTTGTTTTCTAGAAGCAAAAGAAAACAGTTGCAGAAAATTACTGAATTGAAAGGGATTCACGTAATCAAATTAATCAGAATTTCAGCTGAAATCATATTTACAGTATTACTATTTAAGTATTACAACACAAATCTACAAAAGTCAACTAAAAAGTCCAGAAATATTCTAACTAAACTCAAGGATTTGTGTGACCAATATGAAGCACTGAATTGATGAATGTTGAGTGAAACCCCAAAACACTCTTCACTGGGAAAGAGCCAGCATAAAAAAAATGGATGTTTCCACAATAATAATTTTTGGAAGCAGAATCATTATCAAAATCCATCCAAAACAACCCACACCAAAAACAATCCTGAAGAAGCATCTTTCTTTTAAATGTATATGAAAGAAACTGATTTATTGCTTGAAAGGCAGCAAATCAGAGTTGAGAGCTTTCAAGTGAAATATTAAATTAGGTACTAACTTCATTGAAAACAGGTCACTGATGGATGTACTGAAATTATTAAATTAGAAGATCAGCAGAATCACAGTAACTTATACATGCGATTTACTTTTTTCTCCCACCATATGGCAGTCCATAACCCAGTTTTTAAACATTTACAAACATATTTGAAGTCAATTCATGATAAAAGTTTAAGTTTTAATACCAAAAAAGAAGCATTTTTGTACCTAGAAGAAAAGTATGGCATCATGGCCAAATTTAGGACTACAGTAAACAAACTTCAGATTTTTCTGTATAAAAACGCCCATGTCATCATGCTTATTAATGAAATCTCATAAATTATCACCCAAAGTAATCCTCTGACCTTTAATTAACACGAAGTACAAAGTGATTTTAGCAGTTCAATAGCTATGTTGAAGTGTGTTCTAAATAATTTTCAGGGTACCCATGTATTAACGAAAACCAGGAATTCCCACACAGCTCTGTTGTGTTGATTCTCCCCAGAAAGCATAAATGAAATCTTTAAACCTTCAGGAAAAGAACTCAGGTCTCCACATTTTACATGACACCTCTTCAAAGAATAAATGATCGTTTTATTTCTGTTATAAAAGAGCGTTTGCTTTCTCAGTTTAATTACACACGCCTCTGCAATTCATCTTTTCTTCTTCTACTCACTGCTGCCAAACAAACATGTGCCGTGTAAGTCTGAAGTCCTTGCATATGCCACTTCCCAAATTTTAGAATTGGGGAAAAAAGAAAAACCTTTTTGTGAACTGAACAGCAGAGAAACACACTCTTACTAAAGATTAAATTAATTAACTTTTCTATTAAACCACAGTTACATCACTAGATGGCTACACTGAGTGGTTTCCCTCCTTGGCAGTCCTGGAAGTCCCCTTTCCTTAAGCCCAAAGAGAAGAATTGCAGCAGGCAAACCATTGACCTTCTGGGCCCAACGTCACTCCCCCGTGCCTCCTCCTCCGAGGCCGAAGCAGGTCTGTGAGCACATGGCTCATGGGAGGAACAGCACAGTCCTGAACCTCCAAACAGGACAACACAGCATCATCGCAGACTTCTTGCGACCATGCACAGGCGTACACCTCAGGTTCTCTCGACCATAAATTTTATAGAATAAGGATCTTGTGAAGACAAACAAAAACTTTGAAGACTGAGGCCCACCAGCACTAAGGTACAAAAACGTGGAGAAATCCAAATTGCATTTAGAGACAAAATTGCCTACAAGTTTCCTTCTCAGCTTGACCACTGCTGCTGGTGGGGCTTGGACAGAGAGCGAGGCCACCCACATTGCACACATCCATTTCCTCCAGACGACACAAATGCAAAACCTTAAGCCTGACCTCAGCAAGATTCCCTCCAGTAGACATACTTTTACTGTTACAGGCTGTTACTCCGATTCAGAGGGTTAGAAATGAAAGAGAGTTTGTTATGGAGCTAAGAAATCCGTGAGTGCATTTGGGTATTATGTTTGGGCGGTAAGGCATGCGAGTTGAGGTTGGTCTGGATGTTAATGTTGGCTTAACTGGCAATTCCCTTGACTTGTAGTGACTGTGTTGATAGGAAATACAGCTAAAGTTGCTCAAGTGCAAGTCAGCCAAGTCTTTAGTGTGGGATTATGCACACAATTTGCATTAATTCTGTTCTGAAACATCACAAAACACACTTCCCTTCTAGTGAAGTGTGCGGTCCTCAATAATATATAGCATTTCCAGTGGAGAAACCTGGAAGCAAATTGGCGTTTGTGTGCTAGAATTAAGCTGCCACTATTCCTGGAGCGAGGATATTCCAAATGATCTAATTCAACACAGCAGGGATTTCTTTTCTGTATTGCCATGTTTGCCTCTCCTCACACGTTAGATAGCTTTATATAGAAGTTGAGTGTGCTCTTGGTCCTTTTGAGCTCTCTCATCCCAGATGGAAAGGACCTTTGGAGAAAGAGACACTGGAAGTGATGAATACATAAGGCTTCTCTCAGCAGTGAACAGACAGCCTCAGCAAAACTAGATTTATTTTTTTTTTTTAATTCCCCCAAAGTGCTAGAAGTCTTTTATAAATACAAAGGCAGAGCTGAGTGCACCCAGAGATCTGAGCGCAGCATTCTTCATGTGTATCCCATCACATGGCACAGTGCAATGAAGATCGTAAAAAAAAAACTTTAAACGAGCCAAAAATCCATCTGGAAGCTGGAGACAGAAAGCTGCGTAATAACCCTGAGCCAGTGAAAACACAGGAATTACCATGCTGCGTTGTCCATCAAATTTATCAGTTGTTTATCTAACCAGTATCTTGTTTCCAATATTGGCTGGAAACCCAGGTGTCTGCAGACACTGCAATAAACCCCACACTATGCAGTTGTGATATAATTTCACCCTTCACAAAGATTTTTTTTTTTCCCCCCAAAAAAAAAAATCTGTTATCTCTATCTCCCCTGAGCAGAACCCTTGACAGCTCACTTTGGGACCAAACACTACAACGTATGTCACAGAAATCCCTAAAGCACACGGCATTACCCCTTCATTCTTTTTGATGACATACGCTGTATCCGAATAAATATCTGCAGCTGGGATCAGTTCCATGTGATGTACACACAGTTCTTGGTTCCATATTAATGCATGTTGCCTTCAGGTTTTTTGGGTTGTGTGGGTTTTGGGCTTGGGGGTGTTTTGTTGCGGTTTGGTTTTTTTTTTTTTCTGTTTTTGCTAACTTGAAGGAGTATAGAGGTGAAAGATAATCCATTTTTGGGTGGAAAGGAATTAGCTTAAAAATAGAAAGATGGGTGGTATCTGATTTGGCAATTTTGCATGCCTAATCTAAAATCCTGCTGTCTGCCAGTGTCTGGAATAAATGCATTTTATTAGATGAAAGCCGAGGGAAAACACGGCCTTCGCTTATATTAGCGACTATTTTTCAGCAAGTTAAAGGAGGACCTTTCATCCTCACATTTGCATTTGAAACACAAATATATACTTGCAGAACTTGTATCAACACAGAGGTCCCAAGCACAATACCACAGCTGTGAAAGAAGGTGCATTTATAAACCAGCATTTTGGAATATCTTCCTTACTACTGTTATTCAACCAATAAATCACGGACGTTTTAGAACATTTGACTCGGGGTTTGGTATTTTCCAGCTCTCGTTATTTCACACCGAAGAATCACAGTCTGCAGTTATTCCAGCTCAGCCATTTCGTTCCTCTCTCCATCTCCCTGCAACGAAAGGCCCGGCTCCGACACCCCCGCCGAAACACCTCCTCCCAGCAGAGCAACGTGAACTTGGTCGTTACCTCACTTTCACTTTCAAGCGCAGGAAACTTCAAACTGTGCTTTCCAAAAGACCTTGTGACAGTTTTCCCAAAAAGTTGTTTAGACGGAAATACGGGTTAAAGCTGTCATAAGTTCAGTCCAAAACGTTTTCTCTTATGATGTACTTTATGTATGAATAATCATAGATGAAAAGTGAATAATTCTCAAGGATTTCCTGCTTATTTTTCAGACTGGCATTAATCCCTGTTTAACAGATAACATCTGAAATCAATTGAAAGCCTTGCATACACAGAACCCAGTGGAAATTTATGTGTGAAGCAGATACTACTTTGTGTGTATCTCACTGCAAAAATTCTGATTTTGCTTATCCATAACATGAGGATTAGGTTAAATTAATGACTGTTTTACTGCGTGGTTTTTCTAATCCAGAGATGATTAAAATCCAGTTTAAAAGGAATAGATATCCTTGATGGAAAAAAAAAATTACCAAAGCTTTACCTGAGAGATAACATTTGCCCTAATTTACAGCTTCCTACTTTTCATGCATTCTGTCTGGGAAACAACAAGCCTCTTTTTCAGGACAGAAACGTTAAAAAACCCAGCGAATATATGCATAAAAGGAAAAACCAGTTCAGATGTAGACTGCGGGCTAAGAGCTATTTATGCAGTATCAGAAGACTAAACCAGACTCTGGCCTGGCCATAAACTAAGCCCACGCCCTAAACGAGGTGCCAAGCCACAAAAAGCATTTGCGTCAACTGGGAATACAAGGAAAAGGAGGACTTCTAATTATAGGGCCTGGAAGCGGAAGCCCAGAGTGATTAGGAGTTGAGGCGCTGCTGGATGTTTATCTGGGAGCTTCCTCTCGCTCGCTGCCCGGCTTTGATAGATGAGGGTTGGCCCAACGGGGTGGGATTGAAGTTGCTGATGGTACACAGAGTTCTCCACAATCCCAAGGAGACGCAGATGGAATACTAAGGCTTCTGTGGCCTTGTAGGAACATAACTCTTTTCAACTAGGCGTCAGCTGGTTAGCCCGAACGGCGAAATTAGAGAGCAGCACATCACCCGTGGGTGCTTGCTATAAAATCTAGGCAGCTTGAGTCGCCGAAGCATCCCCACCACATCCTATTTATAACACCTACCCAATTGCATAGTTGTTTATT